AGAATGCAGAAAATGACCCAGTGAACCAAAATGGAAACTGACCTATTATTATAAGCCCCATGAGCAGGAGCGACTGAGCATGACCCTTCCTTCGTACTTCTGACCCAAAGATATTTCCATTTTCTCCTACCTAGTCTTCGAAATGGCCTCAGTTGAGTGGTTTAAATATGTCACAAGTGGTGTCAGGTGATCTAGAACTACCTTTCTACCATTGGGGGATTAAAAGAGTTTCCCCGGAACCCATTCTACATTACTGCAAAACCGAATAAAAGTCCATAAAATATTACTATTACCCCATGCTTCTCATGATTTAAAAACAAATCTATAAGCAGTAATTTAAAGGAAACGCTCCTCTAAAACCAATACCTTTAACAAAACAATCATCTACAAGCAATGCATTTCCCAAAATATCAATTCACATCACACATTCAAATACTTTTAATCAATAATCTAATTCGCAATCTATAATTCTAATATAACATTCATCAACCCCCTCCCCCCAATACATTCCCTTAACAATCAACACATTTCACACACAAACAAAACACGCCCACATACAACCGATACTTCTACAAACAAAAGGCACTCACTTGTTATCGGAATCGGCGACGATATGCAATGAGAGTTCAGGATCGGGATAGATTTCATCGACCTCGCAAACGACGGTCACGGTCTCGTCCTCTCGTTTCTCCGTCCACACCTTCACTTCGGAGGGCTTACCTGGCGAAGAGGGTGAGCTTAGTTTAGTAGTTTGCGGAAATTCGTCTGGTTTGAGTTGAATGAAGGTCGCTTTTAGGATGGGTTTGGTTCACACGTAATGTGTTTTGTTTTGATAAGCTTGATTTATTTTTGTACATCGTGTATTCTTATATCCATAGTTGAATTAATATGTATAGTATATTTTGTTTCATACACGTGTCGACAAATAATCATAATAGTGATTAAAAACAAAAAGATAACAGTAAAAGACAACATCAAGAACACTCCCAAGAAAAAAAAGCAAATCATAAATCTCTTTAACCCAACCCGTAATTGCAAAACAAAAAATAAAAAACCAAACAAAACCCGAGTCTCACTGTAAACAACGAGCTTCTGCTGGTATTTCTTCTCGTCTTCAAAGGATGAAACGGTACATGTATATTCTCCCGAGAGCTCTGTAGTTGGCCGGATGATGTAGAGAGCTCGGTATCTGTGGTAGTCTTCGTCCTTGGCTTCGTAGTCCAAGTCTACACGGCCGTCTAGGATGCCGATAGCCTGGGAGAGAGAGTGAACACGCAGAAGAGTTAGGAACGAGTCGGTTGAAGTGATGGTGAGGGTAATGACGACCGCAGAGGGTGATGGTGTTTGATAAAATGATATTCGTGGATTATGATTGGTGGGAGTAATGATGGTCAGGGTAATGATGATTATAGTAGTGATGATGGTAGTAACACTGAAATAAAAAAAGAAAAACAGTGATGACGTTGATAATGATACTGGTAATCATAATCATACTACTACTTCTGCTATGGATAATAATTACTACTATTATAGCAATAACAGAGGTAAGAGTAGGAGTAAGAATTAGAACGATAATGATCGTTTTAGTAGATATGGAGACGATAATAATGAGAAACTAGGGTAGTTAATGGTAAGATATGATAATGGTAATAACTACATCCAAAGACAAATGTAATCATCGTCATCACCATAATCATAACTATTATCATAACCATTATAATGATAATGATAAATAGTACAGCATTAGTATTACTATTATCGTCTATAATACTAATGACTATGAGGACATTAATGATGATAATATAATGATAATATTATTACTTCTAATACTTCCGACGTCAAAATAAGAGTGATGAAGATGCAATAACTACTGCTACAACTGCAAATAACAACAATAACAACAACAATAATAATAATGATAATAATGATAACTACTACTATTACTACTACTACTAATGATAATAATAATAATAACAATAATGATAATGATACTAATAAATGCAGTAGTAGTAATATTGATAATACTAATACCTACGTTAGAAACAACAAACAAAATTAGAATGAAATGCAGATTAACTAAATGAGGTTAATAACGGAAATTGGAGACAAAATTGATAAAATGAATGATGGTGATAATGATCATTATGAAAATAGTGATAGTGATGGTAATACCTCTACTATTACAATAATGATAATGAAAATAAAAGTAAAAATATCAGCAACAACAATAATGGTGAAGATAACAGTTGTAAGATCAGTCTAATATTAATGATACTATTAATACTTAAGCTACTGCTAGTAGTGCGATTATTATCTATCATTATTCTCATTACGATTATTGTTACTATTCTTCTCCTCATTATCATAATTACTATTATCATTATTATTATCTATTGTTATTAGTATCATTATTATTTATTATTATTGTTATTAATATCATTATCATTGCTATTACTATTACAGTATTACTATTATTATTATCACTATTATCATTACTATT